TTTAAGATCTGGTTTTGTTTCTTTCTGTCCTCTCGAGTAATCATTTTTTTTGTTTCCCTTTGTCCTTCTAAGTAATCATTAATAAACTGTTTTGCTTTGAGAAAAACCCTGTCTGTTTTGCCCAGCGTGGGGCCACAACAATTCTAAATCAAATGACTTCCAAACTACATTCTTAAATCTAAAAATTTATAAGCTGAAAACATGTAACTATGCTTATGTGGTTTGTTCCTGTTCTAATAAAAATAATTCTCAATATTAATAAAATGCAACTATACCATAAAATCATAGAAAAACATGAAGCTTTAAGTCCAACTTTTTGTGTTTGATTTATTTTAAGAACAACTAAACACTGTAAACTTTACTTTTTTTAACCAACAAAATATTTGGCTGCACTGCAAGACAAATACAGGATTTTTCTAGAACTAAAACCCAAAATGCCCAGAATATGTTGTACATAATTTAGATAAACCAAAATCACGTGCTCCAAACTACATATAAAAGTTGAATCAATAATGCTGAAATGACCTTACAGCATCTCTTCTCAGCATTTTTTTTTGTTTCCATGTACTCTGTTGTTTACTTACAAAAAAACTAAATCTGCATTCTATCAGGAATTAAACTAATCATGAAAACTATTGTAATTAAAGTAACTGGATTTAGTCAGCTTGGATCGGAATTAAAAATGGATTATATGGACAACAAAAGCTCATTTGGTTCTTTGTGCTGGATAAAGAAAATGTAAATGTTTTCTTCTACAAAGTTTAATGTCGGAAGTATGAAACCTGATTGTTTGTTTTCCTGAAAGGCTAGAGCACTGGAGTACAAGCTTTCTCACCTCAGCTGAAAGTGTAAATTGTCAAGCATTTTGTAAAGTGTCTTCTGTCTCAATTCATCAAAGTTTAAGTAACATTTGAGGGTCTTGTTTGGCTTTGCTTTAAATACAAACTAAAATCTTCACTCTGAGTTGCAGCTAAACTGAATTTAAAAAAAAAGAAAAAGTGGTCTACATGATAATAAGTCCTTGAATTTTCAGGCAGAAGTTGCAGTAATGCACAATTACTGCACAAATTACATACATGCTCTATGAGCAGAACCTGTTCTTTGCATTGAAGTCAAATTCAGCTCTTCTGACAGCTGCAAGCTCTCAGAGTCAGTATCACCTTTCACCTCCGTTTGCCGAATTGAGTGCTCTTCACTAGGTCTCCTAAATACTTCAGTGATACAGACAGTAATAGTTGCTCGATGTTCACCTTAGAAGCCCCACAAAGTACAAATTCCACAGGTGGTACCCTACAAATAGTCACACTGACATAAGTAAATAAATTTTGGCAAGTCTATGGAGGGTCCCATTTAAAAAGTAGCATATTAGCGGCTTAATGATTTAAATTAAATAATAATAAAAACACTTCAAGCATCATTAAAGCATCTAGTTGTTACCAACTAACTAAGCCTAAGGATTTCCTCTGTTCTTTCCATAACTGTACCTTACCTCTGATAATTTTTTACTTATTAATGGGAGGGACCCCTACCACAGGAAAGAAACCCAAGAAGAGAACAAGACACTTAATAGCAAACACTTTTCAGGACTGATGAGGGTTAGGAGGCAGAGAACAGCATGCACAGAGTCCTCAACCTTCACAATATGTAGTGACCGTTTTGCAAAGTTACGCTACTATTAAGAGGCCTTTTCTAATCTGTATAGTGTGGCATTTTGTAGCCTGAAAGCAAGGGTGTATCTCCTCACTGCCATAAAATAAATATTTTGAAATTATCTTAAAGTAATAAGCTCAGTGGAGCAGGAGTTGTATCTTCTGACAGGTCTAAACAACAAATATTTCTGGCCATTTAGCTGATCAAAATAATTTCACTTTGATTTAATGTTTTAAATTAGCAACAGTGACATTAATATTGATGTAGATTCAGTACTTATAAATAAGAACTTCAGATACATATATTCGTGAATGGATGGGTTTGCTCTCTTGCTGGTGGTGAAATATCTCAATGTATAGGTCAGGAGACACTGTTCTAGTATTTGCCACAAAGTGCAAGTCAATTAATTTTTGTTCTTCTAAAACCCCTTTAAATTGCAGACTTCCTTTAAAAGGAAATAGTTAAATATAGAAACATTTTATGAACGTAATTATACAAGAATTAAAATCTTTACATTTCAGGTCAAATCAGTTAATGATAAATCTTTAGAAATCTTTTGTCAGCTGGCTGTGTTTTCGTGATGCACACAGTGCAACGATCTGATCCCTAAGGAATCCCTGCTGCAAAATCTTTGTAAGCATGGCTGGACTGCCACGGTTGCACTAGCTGCGGCTACAGACGGGTATTTCAGATAACGTAATTTCTTCTTTAAATACTGAATCTGCTGAACAGCAATTAAGTAAAGAACAGTACAAAGAAACGTCTGCTAATTACTCTGTAAGCTTTGGCATTAGAATTTCATTGGACTTTATGAAGTTTGCAGCACAAGTTGTAATAACATTTCCCTTAGGATCAGTTGTTAGGCTAATGTCAAAACCGTGTATTTTCTATATGTACGTGTTCTTGATACCATAGAAGAAAAAAAACATACAAACAAGAAAATCCTAATCTCAAATTTGATTAGAGAAATTGATTCTTCCTCCAGAAATTATAGCTTTGATAGCTTCTAGCTTAGGTGCAAACAAAAACATTTTGAATCATGCATCATTCAATCCTTGGCTTATCCTAGATGTTCAAGAGAGAAGTATATTTGGCCATAAAAGACAAAAAAACAGAGCTTAGTTATTAATCACGGTCCATAGTTCATGTGTGCTTCTTGTAAGCAATATAATAAAGTCCTCACTATGAGGAATTCCTAATATTTGTAATATTAATATTTGCATTCATTAAAGGCTTCCAATCTTTATTTTTCTTCTTATGCAATATTTTCTCTTGTTCTCCTTTTGTAGGGTAACTGTACTTGGATTTCCTACAACGACCCGAAATGCTCCAGCAAGTTCAGATGTTAAACTCATTTTTAATTTTTCACCAAAAATTGCCAAGGGCCGCAGAAAGTAGGTAGATATCACTATCCTTCCTCTCAGAAACAAAACCAGAAAGGTGAGCCCACAGGTTTAAGGCCAGCAAGTCACCAACAGTGCAGGGAGAGAATTCGGGGCTTTGGGGCATGAGCGCACTGCCCTGTCCCTTAGGCACAGCATGAGAGCCTTCAGCCCGGTAGCTTGGGGGCGGATGGACGCATCGCTGTAAGCTAAACTGGAGTCTGAACTCACAGTACTTGTGAGCACTTGTTCGTATGAGTTTTTACCTCATTCTTAATCCAAACACCAGTGATGTGACATTCTTGACTATGTCTACCACTGACTGACTCCTACATCACAGCCATCTCTGAATGTTATCCGTACACATACAAATAAAAGCAGCATTCATGTTTTGTTAACAGTAAGATTAAGTAGTGCCATCAATAATAAAACATAACTGAGTTGCCATAATTGATTCAAGTTTAAATAAGTTTTATTTTCATCTTTATACTGTGGCCACTACTGCACGTGAGCCTCTGCCAGCATCGACCTACGAGGACCATTCAAGTCAGTAGAAATCTTCCACATGCCTTGAATTGTTTTCTGATCTAAACTTCACAGTAAGAATGAACTAGAAGCATTGTTAAACTTGTACAAGACAAAAGATGACTCCACAAAATAAATCAAGAAAGGAAACCATTAAGTTAATAAGCTGATCTTCATACACTTTTCTTCTATTTGGATGTAGGCAAGTAACATAAGATATTGTTTTAAAAATATGCAAATGCATATCTTACACAGCAAGAAATATGCAGGAATGAAATATAAATCCTAAACATTTCTTTCTTTATCTCCCTCTAGCCAATCATTGTGCACAGACTGTTGCTTTGGATTTGCTTGCTTACACAACGCGCTTAGGAGCAGCCTATAAAAATATAATTTGCTTTTAATCATGTGCCAATAAAATTCCCTTTAACTCTCAAATTAAAAGCCTAAGTATATATACAGACATAAACACACACGCACACACAGCATGCATTAAAGGTAAATGCACGAATCGTCAAACTATTATCACATGCTCCCTTTTTGCAAAGAAGAAAGCCTGAATTCTTCATTTACAGCAGAATATTTACCAGTTTGCAAAACTTATAAATCTTTTACAGCCTCCCTGATGAAAACATTATTTATTTCGTCCTCATTCCCATACAGCTTGATTCAATGAATTTTTATGGATATGAGTGGTAGCTGCCAACCAAAGCGAGAGTGGATAGAAAACCTCTGTAATGTCTAATGCAGAACGTGTAGGATATCATAAATTTCAACCACTGATTTTTATGTGACAGTGTAACTGTATACAGCAATGGAATGGCATATCATAATGCACTCAGCTCTTTCCAATAGCGATTTATGGCTCATTGCTTAATCATCAGGCCAATAAATTTATTTTCTAGACTGAATTCAAGGCAGAATAAAACAAACCATAGTTTCAGTGATCGCTAATTAAACAACGGTGGTGTTATGTCCGGGATTTGGCAATTCTGACCCACTGAAGAAATAGGATTCTTTCTCTTAGCTGTAAAACGTCACAATGAAACCTCTGTGCCATTCAACGTAATTGCAGCTCAGATGAAAACTGCTGAGCTACTGGCAATACACTCCCTGCATCTAGGTCAGAGCATTATGTTGCTCACTCTTTGCAAAACATGCACACTAACCAAGCTGAGACGGACATTATAATGAGACCGGAATAAAAGCGCTCACAAAACTTGAAGTGAAAGGGATAACAGAAAGCCTAATGAAGAAAAACAGCCTAATCCATCAGGGCATGGGCAAGACAAAGGAAGTATTCATGGTTTGCTACAAAGGTAGGAGGCTAAAAGCCAGCAATGAAGATAATTTCCTCAAGAACTATTTAAATCTGTAGTCAGAGAGAAGGTAGATGGAAGCTCTCTCTATCCAGAAGGTAGAAAGTAGAAGCTTTCCCACCAAAACACAAGCCCATCAAAATGTACCACTCCAAAGATGCACACCCCCTAAAAAAATATGCACAACTCCCTTAAAAAGCATTCATGCTTCCCAAATGCACATATACCACTGCTTCAGTATTAAAAGTTTCGTTCCTCCTTTTATAGCCCCAAGTAAATAGCTGTATCCTAAACAATTAAATATGTGCCTACCTTTCAACGCATAATCCAGTCCTAGCAAACTCAGACACACATATAAAGAAAAATAATTCATGCATACTCTAAACAAGTAAGGCTCCGAAAATTACATGACCTATGAATAGTTGAAAATAAGTAGCATGTCTCTCACCCTCCACTTGTGAAAAGTAATGCATTATAAATCTCCAAAGGCTTAGGCAAATTTCCCGTGCTGCAAGGTAACCTTGATTTTGCAGTAATAATCCTCACGCTGAAGAAATACCGCTCTGTCTGACACGGCATCATCGCACAGACGAACAGTGCGTCCCTCCCTCTCCTCTCCTGGCGTCTGTGTCTCACCAGATGCAGAATTGCTTACCTGGAGAGTCATGATGCTGCGAGGATGCTCAGGGAACGACCTCGCTCCTTCTCCGGCGGGGACGTGACGCTTCTGCCTCTCGGCTCCTGTGGCGCGAGCGTGGTGGCGGGGGCCGTGCTCCACGGAGCGCATTGGGCTGGGAGCGAGTGACCTCAGCTCGCCCACTGCAGCGAAGCCACGCCGGGCAGGACGCAGGCACTCGCTCCCGCCGCGCTTCTTGGGACCTGCGGGAGACAATGGAGTGGCTACATATGCCAGGGAAGGGATGGTGGGGGCATTAAGCCCACCTAGTTTGTTCAGAAAGCCTGAGCTCATTTCCATACCCCCAAGGATTAGGCCACCGGCCTGAGAGCAGAGATACAGCAAGATTTCCAAGCCACTTGTTTGAAAAAGGAATTTCTTGAGTGATCTGAACCACGACCAGCTCAGTTATTGCTACTGTTCCCTCCGCTGCAGCCCTTGCCTGAGTCCATGCCCAGCCCTGGCTGGGACCTCGCGCCCTCCAGCTGCAAGGCTCAAAAACACGCGGGTCATCCCTGGGATACCACACACGAGCAGTTACACACACAAAATACCTTGAGAATGTGGGTTTTTTTTTTTCTTTGCTCTACTAAATACAGAATAAAAAAAATATTAAGGGATCTGATAAACTAGCCTATAACTGTAACCATTAAAGGAAAAAAAAAATCCATCCCTACCTATCAATTAATAAATTATTTATATTCACACCTCTATATATTTATAGTCATCGCTCCTTGACCATGGTTTAATCACAATACTATATACTTCAGCATTTTTAAATCCATAAACTGACTTCCATAAACCCATGTAAAAGCTTTTCCCCTCAACTCAAATCCACATTAAATTAAGCCAGGACTTCATGAGAAAACAAACCAAGTAAATTTCAGCAAACAAAAGGAAATTAAATAAAATTTGAAAACAACTCCAACTCTTGTCTTCAACACCATGAAGTGCCGATGCCGTTAATTTTGCTGGGGAAGCTCTGCTCTTTCAGGTACCAACCGTGCTGTGCTCCCAGGTGAACAGAGAAACTGCGGATCTGTTAATGGCTCCCGGCAGGTGGTGGGAAACGCTGAGCACAGCCAGTTCTCACCTGCCACCTGATCGCTGGTTACCGAACGCGATGTACCACACATCACAGACTAAGTGGCAGCCAGAGACGCCCCTATCGCCGTGAAGCACCTGTTGGCTCGGCCGTGATTTCGTTAAATGACGTATGACAAAGCAGATCCACCGTCACCCACCAGGCGCTGTACGGCAGCGCTCTAAACGAGGAAACGGCAGCGCTAAACCCGCGGTGAGACTCGCCAAGCGCACG